CAAGTTGAAGCTCAGACTTGACGAAGAATTCGTGATGGGAAACAGTGTGGCAAAGCCGGTGGAGGTACTTGGGCTGAGTATACTAGTCAAAGGCTGACTCGAGGAGCTCAACGACAATGTAGGGCTGGATGTACTGCTTGGAGCGGATGATGGAGCTGAAGTCGGCAACATCCCCGGTGTCGAAATGGAACTCCCGGTTGAGGACGTCAAGGAGGGTGGCAAAGTGGAACCTGTCGATGGCACAACGGAGGAGCTACCTACACTGGTGGGAAGAGTAGATGAACCGAAGCTGCTTGGCGAGAGGGGAGTTGATGTAGATAGCGATTGAGTAAGCCCCGTTGACGATGGTATTGCAGAACTACCGATACTGCTCGACAGGCTTATGGAGGTACTTGACGATACGTCGGCGGAAGGAGTCGGTCCTGAAGTGGGACTAGGCAGAGACACCGTGAAGCCGTCGCTCTGCGTGGACGGGAAAACGAAAGAGCCCCCTGTAGTTGTCGATGTAACGCGACTGAGAGTAGCCGAGCTACCAGACGGGCTTGTCAACGTTGCAGGTGCACTTGAAGTCGTTGGTACGTTCGAGCCGGGTAGAGGCACCGAAGATGTTCCGCCAGGTGTGCTTGGGAGTATGCTTGATCTCAGGCCAGGCAGGCTGCTTGATAAGGCGACTGATGAGGTGATTGCATTTGAAAGCGTAGAGGTCGCAGACGGCGACAGAATTGTGGATAGCGTAGAAACGGGAGTAGGCAGCCCGCTGCTGATAGTGACAACACTCGTTGAAACAGGATACGACGGGTACGGTCTCTGTGGTTGATTGATAGGGCGAGGTAAGCTCGATGTCTCAGACGATGCTGCGCCCGATGAAGGTGAACTTACAGACGACGAGACGAAAGGACCCGACAGAGACAGCGTAGACGTAGTCGGTCCCAACGTTGAAGACACGACAGCCGCTCCGGAAGAGAGAAAACTCGTCACCCCCACCGAAGAGACAATCGGCGTAACATCCGCCGTCCTGGTAGGCAGCGTACTGAACCGACTAGGCGGCGCAATACTGTCCAACCACTCCGTCGTACTATTCACGACAGAAAAGTAGTACGTGCCTTTCGCCGGGTTGGTTGGCGACGCACCAACGAGCGAGATGGTGATGATCGGTCCAGGAACAGTGACGTAGACGATACTGCAGTTGCCATCCACGGCTTGAGCCGAGACACCAGGTATTGCGTTGAGCAGTATGTCCAGGGCAACGTAGCCACCGGCCACGACTATACCCACGAAGGCTAGTGTTAATATGAGATCTTTGGAGATCTGCTTGTCGGTCCAGCGTATCCGAGTCAGAGCGACGAAGAATTGGTATATCCAGCGTATGATGCGACATGGCCACCAGTTGCGAGGCCTGAAGCCCCATCGAGGTCGGGCTGCGGTGGTAGCTTTAGGTTCGGACTGCTGCTTTGGACCTTCCCATGTGCTTGAGATGACCGAGTCTCGTTTGTCTTTTGAGCCCTTTCCGCGTATTACCGGAGGAGCGGGCGATGAACTGGGGGAAGTGCTGGATGTAGTTGTATCTTTGAGCGAGGTGATGGTAGGAACACAGAGCGTTTTCCCCGGGGGTTCTGTTGGAAGCTGGCGACGATCAGATGTATTGCTAGTGGATCTGGTTATGACCGCCCCGTGAGAAGATGTCCATGTCGAAGGGGTGCTTGAGCCATTCGTGTCGCTTATGGAGGTCTTGTCTTTCCTTGACTTGTCCTTGCTGCGGATCTTGTTCTTGCCCATGATGAGAGAGGAAATGTTGTTGCTATGATGCACTTGCGAAGATGTTGCTGATAGGCTGTTGTGCAATGATTGTGGTGCAAGAGGTATCCAAAAGTGCTGTTGTGGTGATGGAGGATAGTCGTACGAGGCGGGTGTATAAGCCCGGGTGCGTGGGGAGTGTACCTGCCATGTTCACGATGAAAACAAAGTAAGCATAGACGATAGATCGATAGACGGAGTGAGGACGACGCGACATGTTTGCAGAGCAGTTGGAAAGCGAGATGAATAGCTGTTGACCGTTCTCGGCTCGGGAGTTCGCAGCAGTTGCGATCCAGCATGTAAGAACCCGCGCTTGACTGATCCCTCGCAGTTGACGCAGCTTGCTCATCACTGGAGGGAAGAGGTGAGACAATCATTTGCGCTGCTTCTTCGAACATATGTTAAACTTCTTGTGTGCGATATGTGCAGTACTCTCGGTCAAAACTCCCAGCCGGCAGATTGGGTCGGAAACACTAGTGATTTGGCGTCCTCTAACGTCGACGCATCCAAAATTAAGCTCTTATCTCCCACATTCTGATATGTCCAGCTTCGTTGGCGACTGCTAGCTGTGCGAGACTGCCTTCTCTCTCCTCCTCTTCGCTCGGCCTTCCCCATGCGACTGCTGTGATTCTGCCGAGCGGTGTCTTCTCGGTAGGCCAATTCTTGAACACGGTTGCCGATGGGAGGTGCACCAGCCTCATGGCGTTATTCTTCCATTGACTCGCCATGGCGAGTACCTGGCCATCCGCCGTGAATGCGAGATGCGAAATTGGTGTCGTCAGGTTCTGCAAGTCGCGTACCGGCTTCGGTGCCTTGGGGATACCGCCATTCGAATCGTCTTTGGCAGGCTTGACTGAGGGGTCGTTCTCGCTCCATGCTCGCCGGTCATAAACATTGACCACGCCACTGGAACTGCCAATGGCCACCCATCGATCGCCACCTATCCAGCTTTCACGTCCGCTCTTGCCACCGAGTGCGATGACTGTAGTACCCACAGCACCCTCGTCGTTCCATCTTCCTATGACGCCTCCTTCGACGCTCCACTCCGTTATCTCTCCGTTCTTGCCCGCAATGCTCATACCAGTGCCGTCGCCCCACCATGCGAAGTCAGCAACACCACCTCTTGACTCGACGCGCACCTGCGTCGCCCACTGCAGTGTCCTTGCATCCAGAATGTTGATAACACCACCACCCTTTCTCGAGGAACCCCGAAGAGCCATGTATTTGCCGTTGGGCGAGAGGGAGAAGTTCTCCATTGTCCGTTGTTCGTGCTGGTGGCCGTATACACGCGACACCTTCTCCACTCTGCCGGTCGCGATGTTCCAAACGTGGAAGTAGCGTCGTCGCGCGCTGAGGAAGATGCGCGAGTCCGAAGGTGAAGGATGGAACGCTGTGGTGACAAGAGGAGTCTTTTTGATATGCAAGGACGTGAGGAGAGGATTCGGGTTCGGCGGGTTGGGGTTGACGTGGTGAAGGTATAGTGTTGAGCTAGGACCGGAGGAGAGGAGCAGCGGGTATGCGGGATGGAAAGAGAGGGAGGTGATGGCAGACTGGAATAGCAATTAGTATGAGGGTCGTCTGCAATGGCATCGCGGTACTCACCGGCCCGGCCTTTGCGACGTCTTTCAGGCGCTGAATGTCAATGGTGCCTGCTTGCACCTTCCTCCGCTTGGCCACGCTTCGTGAGGTTTGTGACAAAATATCCGCATCCTTGAGTAGCCTAGCCAGTGGCTGCGTAGACAAATCTTCCTCGTCCACGTCCATGTCGCTCGCAGAATTATCACCACTCTCGTCGTCATCCATATCCCGTCGGCGCTTCTTGTTGGCCTTGCCTGTCGCATGAGCCGCCCACTTTGGCGTAGGGTATAACCTCTGGTACTGCTTGCGTAACCGCCGCGCGTATTCCTTGCCGTTGACCATGTCGTCGTCTGCCGTCTCTCGCAGCTTCCTCAATTGCGGCACCGACGCCAAACTGACTACGAGCCTCTCGTCGTCGCTGTCTTCCCAGGCGGGCTTGCCATCGTCCTCGTCTGATTCTTCTGCCTTTGCAGCAACGGAGCCCGCAGGCGCAGCGACTGGACCAGCATCGAAGAAGAATAGATCTTGATCTGCCACAGCGTCGAGGTCGGCCTCTTCTGCGCCAGATTCGTCCGATGAATCGCCGTATGCGTTTGCGGTCGGGTCGAGCGAAAAGTTCTCCAGACCCTGCCGGAAGCCTTCAGAGTCGCCAAAGATCATGCGCTCCAGTTCTTCTTCCTCAGCATCTTTCGGCAAGACAGGCTTTTCCTGCTTCTTCTCCGTCTGGATGTCTATGCTCTCGTCATCGCTTTCGTCGTCCTGAGCTCCGTTGTCTCCAACTTCCTCCTCGGAGCCGAACCCCTCAAAGTCATCGTCCTGTGGTTCCTTCACCGGCTGCAGTGCGCCTGCATTTGCATCGTCGTCTGAGCCCTCAAGTTCGGACTGGAATCGCGCAGGGTCTTTCGCCTTCTCGGGTGCGTAGCGCTGGTGCCCACCGGACTTGTGTGGAATCGTCTTTGCGGGCGCCATTGTGGTTTATCGTGAATGTGCAATGAGAGCTGCAGGCGCGCGATCGCAAAACTGAGGGAGAAATTGTTGCAGGGATAACCCCAGTACGCGGCAGGATTAGGCGAGCCTCCGCAGTCAGCACCTCGCAACACCACCTGCAGTACTCAGCATGTAACACAACAACACCATGACAGTATCGCTGAACTTAGCATGCATCATGCTCAATGAATGGAAAAGCGCTGAGTATATTGGAAATTGGCTCGTCGAATTGACGACCTGCTGTATGCGAGTGATTGAGATCATGATCGAGAGCTGCTGCCCCCGCAGGAAACCACCTGGGCGCCTGCATCAACTATTGATAGTGTCCGCGTGACAAAGCTACTGTATCAGCCCTTTTACGTGTAAGGCGCAGAATGACAAGTACACCATCCTTTGGTGGGTAACAATGCTCATATCGTACTTGCAACTCCCTTCGCTTCGGACTGCTATTGGGTGACTACTCCGATTCCGACAGGCATGCCGGGCACGCCAAACACGGAAGGTATGACTCTGCCCTAGGCAGACACATGAGTACATAAGTACACGCAGGTTTCTTCATTTGCTTCTCAGTACCACTACCCACGTTTCACTGTCGAGTAGTGTCTTTCGTCTCTGTCCTACAGAGTCTTCCAACCATCATTATGCCAGACCCGAACCTCACAGTCTCGCTTCTCAAGCCCGAAGAAGCAGAGCAATACATGCGCATACGTCACGAAGTCTTTCGCCCAACCGTCAACAAGATCCTCTACGCCCGCCGCGAGCCATCTCAGGAAACCCTCGACAAAGTGACGGAAGACATCCGCGATGGCATAACCAACAAGGGCATACTCTACGTCAAGTGCGTCGACACCTCGACCGGCGAGATGATCGCAGGTGCACGTTGGCGCTACGTCAAGCCCAAGGAAGAAGGCGCAAAGGAACGGACCTGGGAAGAGGTCGACGCTGGTCTCACCGTCCCACCACCATACGAAGAAAGTGACCCGGAGATGTTCGCGGAACTCTTCAAGTTGTTCAACTCGAACAAGCGGGAGATTCTGGGAAAGAGGCCTTACTATGTGCTAGATACACTGGTTACACTGCCGCAACATGGAAGGAGGGGAGCGGGAAGTATGCTAGTGCGATGGGGTTGCGAGAAGGCGGATGAGGCTGGTGTTGAGGCGTTCCTTGAAGCGAGTCCCATGGGTGCGCCCATGTATGCGAGACATGGGTTTCAGCCTGTGAAGACGGTGGAATTGGATCTGAGGAGGTGGAGTGGAGAGGACAAGATGGAGTTTATTGTAAGTTTGTTTTGTCTGAGATTCTTCAGAAGCGGGGCTAACGATGTGATAGCTCATGTTGCGTCCCGCAAAGCAGCAAACATGATGGTTTGGATCATTCTGGTCGCAATTATCTTACTGCTTAGCATTGAAAGGGTGCAGACCGTGGATAGAAAACGTTGTGACTATTAGTTACCGGTTTCACTCAGTTCACTAACTCTTGCCTATCAGTACACTGCACGTGAATGCCACTATAACACGAAGCCTTCGATACAACTACTGGCATCAGATCACAACTTATCAAACCACTTCACAACCAGCTATCCTTCAGTATCACTTAAGTCGCAATGGCATCGTCTCAGCCGATCTACGGCATCACAGCCTCACTAAAAACCTACAAAACAGAGGACTTTGAGTCGCCCGACCCAGAAGATGAATGCTACGTATGCATGCGTCTATTCAACGCAGTCGACAACAAAGACGACCCAAACGAGTTCCCATGCAAGGCCGTAAGACTCTTACCCTGCGGCCACCTCATCGGCAGCGAGTGTCTAAAGATCACGACTCTGAAGCTCAACATGACAACCTGCTCTCTCTGCTCGGCCCCCCTCGCCGTAACATACGGAAGCCCGATGAACTACATCATGTGCCATCTCTTGTCGAATTGCTATACCCAAGCACTAGTCGACCACGCACTGCTCGTGGGATCTGTACTAGCAAGCCCACAAGTCGCCAACATACCCCTGCTAGGACGGTTACACACACAAAATGACGAACAGAAGATGGCTCTACTTTCATATGCCTTCTTCGCACGAGAATTGACATGGGCAGACGCATTCTCTTTCTGGCTGTACTACATGAAGCTGGTGTTCGTGTCTTTGTTGGGGTTGAGCTTGCTTTTCTTCTCGATAGGGCTTCTGATCGGGCTGGATGACTTCTATGGCGCTCCCATTGAGATGGCATTTCTCTCCGCTCTAATGGGTACGGATTGCAGGGCTCATCTGTCCAAGACCGCAATACGTATGGTCGTCCAGGCTCTATGCATCGCGATCGACATTGGTGGGCAGGTCGCTATGAGACGACATCCAGAGCATCTGAATAAGCTCGTGCTCATGAGGGCGGCCGCGTGGCTTAGGGAGGCTATGGTAATCTTCGGCTGTGACGCTTATCTCTTTATAGGCAGCGGCTTGGTTTTGATGAAGACGTTGGAATTTATCGTAATGACTGGTGTCATCACGATGCTTGTTTCGTATGGGTTGAGGCGGGGAGGGAAGATGTTCAGGTGTGCCTGGGGGTTGTTGCTGGCGGCTGTGATGATCTATTTGACGAATGGGCTTCGCATGATTTCCATCGGCAGACTGACGATTTCCATTGGCGAATTTCCGCAGGCGTAGTTGGGGTAGTCGCGATGGCGTCACAATGGTATCTAAACGCGGCGATGTCTTTCGCTGTCAAGACTGACCTTCTGACACTCACGGTCCTGCTGGAACTATGGAAGTTGTATCAGCGAGAAGATATAACACATATTTTTGTACTCAGATTGTGTGACTTCATTCCCAGCCCTAAAAGCCCTCAAAGCCTTCAAGCATGTAAATGTCTTAAGACTACCACTTTGCTCGCAATCGACGGCCAGTCTTTACTTTAATAGGTCTGTGGAAACTACAATAGCCTGAAATCACAACACGTGCATGCGCGTCATCGACGCGGGTGCGCACATCGCCGCGCTCTCTATCCCTGCAAAGCTTACTAGAGGCGGGCTGATCTCTTCAGCGCCACATGTTTGCCTTGTGTCATCTTCACGCTCACCATCGCCATCACAGATCAATGAGCGGAAAGTGATCGCTGCCTGCGCTCCGCAGGCAATTCGATTATCGCCGTGGTAACGACATCGAATCAAGGCGTGAAGCTGGGATGAAACCGGCTGCGCGAGCGACCCCCCACCCGCTCTAGGCGACAGTAACCAGTGGTACCAAACAACCTGCGACCAGCACTGCCTTTCCATGTGAGCTCGTGGCTCTCGTGACGAATCTGGTCACACATTGCCCGCTGTCAATACCCGTGTTATTCAACAACCACCCTGACCCTAGATCACATCAAAGCCATGGATCTCCCAACTGAGGCGACCACCATCCGCAAGGTCGTCCCCAAGACGCCGCAGGTCAAAGCATCTCAAGTCTTCGATAAAGAGAACCAAGCTCCTCCAACACCATCTAAGCCCAAGATCAAAGAAACCAAGCTTGCACTCAATGACGAAACCTCAGACTTCACCATCATCTGCGAAGGTCGACACTTCATCACCCATAAGAGCATCCTGGAAGCCTCATCGCCGTACTTTGCGCGCATGTTTCGCTTCAACGGCAGTGTGAGTATTGGCAACCACATCGACATACATGTCATACTGACAGAATGCAGGAAACTAACAGCCGAGAAGTACAAATCTCTGACGTCGATACGGTTACCATGAAGCACATCCTAGACTACATGTACACATCAACCTACCAGTTCTCCGGTGGCGAGACCGTCCACCCCACAGCCTACTGCAACCACAGCACCTACGCTCTGCTGCACGGTCCCCCGACCGCTCCGCAGATCTTCAAGCGCAAATGCCCCTGCGCAGGCAAGATGCTATCTGCTTCCCATCTCCTCCTGCACGTACGCATTTATACGGTTGCCGATTACTTTGACATGCTCGACTTGAAAGAGTTTGCACGACAGGGCGTCATAGACGTTTTGCATGTGTATTGGCAGTATGAGGGTCTGGATTTGGCTGATGCGCTGGAGGAGGCGTTCACGTCTACGCTGGATGATGACAAGGGGATTAGGGATGTGCTTGTTGATGCGATGAAGATGCATCCAGGACTGGTGGTTGATGAGGGTGATGTGGAGGAGTGGTTGGAGGATCATCCTGAGGTGAAAGCGAGGGTAAACTGGGACTGAAGAGAGCGTTGTGATGCTCGACTGAGGTTACTAGATTGCGCGGGTGTTGAGAGGTCAGAGAAGGAAGGAACTACTAGTGAGTGTGCAGCAGTGTCTAGTAGAGTGGCATTGCTTGGTAGTCCCGATGAATTGATGCCGGCACCATCTTCAGAATCGGTCACATATGACCTCCAACAACGAGCTTGCAACGATCGGCTACACCGAATGTAAGCTAATGAAGCTTGATACCCCGCTGTAGCGTCCGAGGTCCAAGACCAAGCGGAATACCTATCAACACGTCAGCGCACGAATCAACAGCACTTCAGACTCATCAACTTACCAGTACCATTCATCCCACACCCATCCACAAAACACGCACTCGCCGTATGAATATACCTAATCCTCCCCCCTTCAACCCGGAACATATGACTATCCGGCGCCCCCTCCGTATTCCTCGTGCGATCCAGCCCCGTAAACCCCATGAAAATGTCCACAACACCCATCACCTCATCAACAACATACTTGCGATTAGTCATGGGGATATGTTCAGGCAGCCCACCGATATCACACGTATTCGCCGAGAGATTTCCACGACCAGTATACGCACCACCTTCGAGACGCGCGCAGGGCGTGCCGAAGGGGACGTGGACTGTGACGTCGTTACAGCGGTCGGCGTAGGCTTCGCCAGCTGCTTTGATGGTCTCGCGGGTGTCGCGTAAGGCTTCGGGAATAGACGTCCAGGTTTCTTGGCGGTTCCAGTAGGAGGTGCCGGTTGCGTTGAAGGCCCAGTCGCCTGCGTCGGTTACGATGCTGTCGATGAGGTTTACGTTGCCTTCGGGGTTTAGAGTCATTTGCGTGTGTATGACGTAGGGATGTTTGGTGTCGGTGACGATGAGCTCGGTCATTGTCTTGCATTGTGTGGTATCGAGGATGGAGCGATGGGTGTCAATGGTTAGACCGAAGGCGGGTACGCCGTTGAGAAGTGAGGCGGTCACGTTGTTTTCGAAGTATTTCATGGTGTAGGCGATGTTTTCGAAACGGTCGTGTTGGCCGGTTGCCATTAGGTCGACGTAGGAGTCTGCTGTGTTCTGGAGATATTCGCGGGTGCAGTCGAAAGCCATGGTGGACGTCGCCATCGAAGCCAGGGCAAAGAGAAAAGCCATGATGGTTGTAGCGATCTTGGTGTGTCAACAGCGAGAGTTCACGGGCTTTCAAAACAACGATGTCCAGTATCGTCGCAGGCTGTAGAATTCCTAATGGGATAGGTTCCCGCGTTCCTGGATTCCATGGACGAATAGTAGTGATGCATGGGCGTATGGTACTCTTAGCCATATTGATGAAGGGTGTGGGGCACTCCGGCATTGGACATTCATCGTCTGAGTCTCGCGCAACCCCACACGATCGTTATTCGAATATATTGAACTCTTCTGCAATCGCCGAGACACGTTCAGAATGCTCCAGATGATGTTGCAGCGAGATCGCAGACGCGCCGTCCAGCGTCGCAAGCCATTATCCATGACTTATCTTCACAGCTCTTGCTTCCTGACATCCGGTAGGTGATAGCAATTCCTCAGTCGGCAGGCAACCCACGAAGCCTCGCAGACATTCTTGCAATGCTCTTCATCCCAGTCGTCCAGGTAGTCCCACAATGTGTTCATCGATGCAGCCTGTGTAACGTCAGTACACGACCATCTCGATGCGGCCATTGGAAGATACATACTATTTCTTGTGGTGATGGCTTGCGAGATACGTAGTCGGTGTCCAATTCGGAATCGGCTTGCACTGACTGCGGCGAGCTGTGCTGCTGGTCTTCCGCTAGAAGCGCGAACGCGTAATAGACGCTGTATATCAGCAGAGACGAGAGGACGAGTACCAGCAGAATATGCGCGACTCGAAAGAGCAGCTTCATCGCAGGTTGCGCGGCGATCTCGGCTCAGTCAGGCTGCTGTGGATTGTTCCTGGTGGGATCTCATGAACCACGAGATGGTTGGGTGGCCGAGCGCGCTAGCGCGCTTCCCGCTCTCAGGCCCTGCCACGCGTCTTCGCAGTACTTCCTTCTTTCACCTTCCCAACACTTTCATGGCAGATAACAATCACCCAGCAAGCGTATCGCAAAACAAACTGTTGATCACGCGAATATCGCCAGACTCCAGCCATGATCGCGTCCTCACCTACAACGTCGCCACACGCGCGTTCCGCTTCGACGCGTCCAGAACTTGCTACATCTCCAAAGTCACTACCTAGTGATTTCCTATACATGATCGGGGTTGATACACTGATCCGCGGAGCTGACCGCACATTCTTGAGAAGGCTGACAGAAAAACACATACTTAATCTGTCCGATTCGAAAGTCTGCTAATAATACAATAATGGAAACAGATCTGGTACTGTAGTAAGTATTCTTCACTTTGTAGAGCGGGTGAAAGTTGTTCTATACCGACTATGGTTTCCAACGGGATGTGTTTTCACTCGATACTCGACAGGCGCCGAAGCAGAGCGCGAACCAATCGATCCTTCACGACTGTTCCTGCTGGGAACTTATCTGTCTATATAATGTACCGCTCTCTTGGTCTTATATCAACTATAGCCGTTCTGCAACTTTCAACGGCCGTTCAACCTTCAACACTTTCATACGCCAAGCGCAATACGCTCTCCTATCTTTCTAATAGTCAGCTATCGGCTTTACCATAGTCTCAGTTGAAAGGGTCCCAACGATGAGCGATGATAGCTGGGACGACGATGACCGCCGCCATGACTCTCGCCGGAAGACGAAAGATCGAAGAGTGAAGAATGAGAAGAACTTTCTCGAGACGTTGATGGACTCATCAATCGAGAACAGCATGAACAAGCCACTGTTCCAAGCTATCAAGGTCTGGATCGATTGCAACATAGGCATAGACCTCACCTATCTGGTTTGGGCTATTGCTTTATGCATTCCCGCTCGCACATACGGCAAGGCAACATACGACTGGCTCAGTTCGAACCTCACAAACTCACTTGAGCTCGACAGTAGCGATGCGCTGGTCACCGACCTTTTGATGTGGATCAGCAAGCAACCATCCAACCAGCTGTTCGCATGGCTTCCGACTTTCGAACATTTGGAGTGGAAAGATCTGTCGCATGAGCAAAAGACCGCCAACAATGATGAGAGCAACTCTCACCACCTCATAGCTTCTGCTGGCTACACTCCTTTCTTCCACGAAGGCGTACCATTTCTGCTGTACAAACCGGATGGCCGAACCTACGACAAACTCACGTTACGCTGCATGTGGGGCAGTAAA